CTGTGGCCCCCTAATGTTCTGTTTTTTCCATGGGGGCCCCGTGGGGAGCCATATGGCCCACGTTGAGAACCATGGTCCACGTGGAGAACTTATGGCCCACGTTGAGAACCATGGTCCACGTTGAGAACCTCTGGTCTACACTACCGCCGAGTTCTGTCAACATAACGTTGATAGAACTCGGCAGTTTCGTCAACGGCGGCAAACCTCATTCTATGTGGAATAATGCCTTTTGTTGACAGAGTTCTGTGACAGGCTGAGGACAGAACTGGATGTAGTCTAGACACTCTTTGTCAACAGAAGCTTTGTCGACAGTATCTGTCGACAAAGCTTCTGTCGACAAAAGCCTGTAGTCTAGACATACCCTATCTGTCGAGAAAGCCTCTGTCAACAAAAGCCTGTAGCCTAGACGTACCCTCAGTGGGACTGAATCATTTTACACCACGTGCGGATCTGGCCCAAGATGTTATTGGCTGAAATGTGTGAAAGATGGGAACAAATTACACCAAGATGTTATTGGCTGAAATGTGTGACATGAGAACAAATTACTTCCCTCGTCTCGGTCAAGAAACAAGGAAAACACTAGGGCAGGAACCTCAACCACTAGGATTCCAAGTCAGACTGATTCCCATGTTCTTGGGCAATATGACATGTTCCCCGGGCATCCCAAATCCCAGCTTGTTCCTAGGGATTCCTCCCCCAGCTCTGCACAGAGCTGACAGCTGCCCCATGGATTTACCACACCCATCCCAGCTCCAGTCCCATCTCCGGGGGATGATGGGCAAATACCATCCCTCAGTTACTGCTAGGTGGTACCTTTCCCCTCTGTGACTTCACATCTGGGCTGTGAGGGTTTGTGTCTGGCAGGAAGCTTGGGTTGTGTTCTTGGCTCTGACGTGGACCTGCTGTGAGACTTTGGACCAGTCACTTCCCCTTCCTGTGCCTCAGTTTCCCCTCTTCTCTTTTCCCTGCCTTGTTGTTCATGAACTCTTTGGGGGATGGGCAGTGTCTCTTCGTATAGACATTCTGTGCACCCAGTTCCAGCATATTTGGGATCTCACTGACCTCCTGTGGGTCTGTCTACCCGGCAGAGAGGTTCCAGGGGCTGTCTGCTCTGCTGGTTAAGTAATTTTGATATTCTACATCTTCCAAAACAAATTACTCAGTTTCTCCTCCTCTCCTTTCCCTGCCTTGTTGTTCATGAGCTCTTTGGGGGATGAGCAGTTTCTCTTCATGTAGTCGTTCTGTGCATCCAGTTCCAGCATATTTGGGATCTCATTGACCTCCTGTGGGTCTGTATTCCCCGAAGAGTGGTACCAGGGGCTATCTGCTCTGCTGGTTAAGTTATTTGGATATCCTACATTTTCCAAAACAAATTAAAAACAGACATTATAGAATGACAGTGTGTGAAATGACAGTGTGACGGGGCAATATTAAAGTTATTCAAATTAAAAGTTGATTTTCTACTAGGGCTGCTCAAAAATGTGCTGCTTGAGGTGTTGTAACAGGTCTATCTATCTATCTATCTATCTATCTATCTATCTATCTATCTATCTATCTATCTATCTATCTATCTATCTATCTATCTATCTATCTCCGCACACACATGAGAATAGCTGTCTGCCTGTTGCTAACTTTTTTTCCTTTGGATAGAGGGGATTTTTGTTCAACATTTTCTGTTTCCAGCAGACAATGTTTGATTCTCTGTTGCCAAACCACCCAAACTGAGACTTTTGTGGGGACTTCTTAAAAAAGATGATATTTTCCCCGTTCAGTGCCTTCTTAGCGGAAATCGTAAAGAGTTCCGATTGCCTTTCGGATTGATCATCTAATCCCCACCCTGCACATCCGCACTCCAATTGATTTATTTCCAGCAGCAAACTTACCGGTAGCTCTGTGGATAATTTTCCCCAACATTTGATGAGTTTGATCCTCAGGTTCTGGCAATTA